GGGGGGGGGGATCGGTCGGTTAATGATTCGGCCCTGCGCTCGGTGCGCGTGCATCAGACGCACGCCGCCCGGCGGCAGGAACGGCGGGGACGGCAGGAGAGGGGGGGCCGGTGGGCGCGCCTGGCCATCGACATGGGCTGCTTTTGCCGGGCCCCGGCCCGGCCGGCGCCACCCCCGCGGGTCGTCCCCGGCCGGGGGTTGGGCGAGACGCCCCCGCCCCTGGGGGGGGGGGGGGGACGGCGCCTGGCAGGCGCGCCCTCGTTGCCCGTGCGGCGTCGGCCGGTGTGATCGCGCCGGGCCTGCGCTCGCCGGTCGCAAGCGTTGGAGGGCCCGGGCGCCGGCCGCACGCCGCGCCGTGGAGATTGTTTATTGGTGCACACCAGGGCGGCGTTCTTCTGGTCGCTTCGTTTCCCGTCGAACGGACACACACACACACACACACGCACGCACACACACGCAGACGCGGACGGGCGAGCGCCAGGCCACACATGTTCTTTGGTCCGCCCTCCTGCCCAGGTAGGCTGGGACCCCGGGCCGGGGGGGGGGGGGGGGCGGCCATCTGTTTTCGTCCCTCCAGAACCCGGCCGGCCTGGGCGGCGGGAAGGAGGCCTCGCCCCCCCCCCCGGGCCCGGGGCCCGGCGCAGGGCGGGGGTGACCACTGAAGTGCCCGCCCGCCGATCACCCGCGACCCCGGCCGGCCGAGCCATCCCCCCCCTTTACCTCCCCCCCCCCCTCTTGCCCGCCCTGCCCTGGCCGCTTGTTGCCCCTCCCCTCCCCCTTAACCGCCGGAGCCTGTCCCTACCCAGTCTCGGCCTCTCTCATTCCCTCCTTCTCCCTCTTGCCCGTCGGCCAGTCCCCTTGTTCGCCCTCGCGGAATGACCGACCAAGGTGCGGCCCGCCGGCCTGGCCCTTCCTCGCTCGCTCGCTCGCTCGCGCCCCCTCGACTAATGCCACTTTGCGCCCGCCCGCCTTGGCGCCCCTTGCCCCCTGCGGCTTGCCACAGCCCCCGCGTACACGAAGGAGCAGCAGGAGGCCGTGGCTGCCATCCTGCGATGCAATGACTACTATTCGGTGCTCGGTGTGGCGCAAAATGCCACCGAGACGGACATCCGCCGGGCCTATCGCCGGGTACGTGAAGCGGTGCACGGGGGGCGACGCCCTCGGGGGTTTGTCGCGCGTGCTGCCCGCCACTTCGGCGCTCCCCCCCCCCCCCTCGCCCCGGTTTCCTGCCTCCCTGTGCTGACTCTGCTCGATGGTGTTAGCTTGCCCTCAATTTCCACCCCGACAAGAACCACGCTCCCCGTGCCAAGGAGGCCTTCATGAGTGCGTGGCCTTGTCCGGTGCCTCGCCATCCCTCCTCAGGGGGGGGGGGGGCGGGGCATTCTCTGTGCCGATGCTGATCTCGCGTCGTTCTCTCCCTTCTCTGCTCATCCGCTCATCCGCTCATCCGCCCATCCGCTCATCCGCCCATCCGCTCATCCGTTCATCCGTTCATTGCCTCATCTGCTCTCCTTCTCATCCCCTCATCCCCCTCCCCCCTCATCCCCC